AAAAATAACATCACCAGTCAACCTTTTTTTAATAATCAGAGTACTCCTCATAGTTTGTCCAATGTTTCAAGATTCTGACTCATGTTGCTTGAATGTGTACAGGCACTAGACACCATCCCTTCTCCAAGGGGGGAAGAACAGGTGTAACAATAATCTATTCCAAAATGATTCTCCCAAGTATTAAAAAATGAGAATGAGAGTACCTCAAAGTTATAATGACATTAAAAAAGTTTTTAAACACTTCACCCAAGTGATTTCTTTAGTTCTAAAGCTTAGATTCAAAGACAATAAATAAAGCTGATGTATCTCTGGCTAGCACAACCATAAATTACAAAAGAGAGGTAGGTCATTACTAACTAATTTTCTGCTGGATTCAGTTCTACTTATGTCATTTCTTGGATCAGTGCAATAGATTCAAATGTCTTTATGCAAAACAATGTAAAAATATCCTTTATTGATCATGAAAAATCAAGAACTTCCATCTCTGTGACCTCCCCCAATGAAACATACTTAAAGTGGTTCTGTTCTTAATAAGCACTGCATGGCAAGCATTGTGCTGAGTGTCAAGGGTGGTAATAAGAAAACATCTGAGGGCTGGGGATTTAACTCAGTGGTGCCGCGCCTGCCTGGCAAGTACAAGGTCCTGAGTTCAATTCCTGTTACCAAAAAAATAAAGAAGAAGAAGGCATCTGACACTTCTTACCTTTAAAAGGTTTGTAATATAGATAAGATGAGCCTTTTAGATCAAACATGTTGTGTGATATAATATTTATGAATGTTCAAGGGCCCACCACAAGCATTTTCTCACAAGAGTAGCCTAGGCACTTCCTTTTGTGTAAAGCTGCTGGATGGGCTGTGGATCATAAGCCAAGACTGTCACAGCAGTTCTCATACAAGATAATGACCAATTATCCAACTAGATCCTTTTTCTGTTTGGAGAGTTTTAATCAGCAATGTGTGAAAAGACTAAAGTGGATCACTGACGCTGCTGCAGAATCAGGAATGACACATTATTTCAACTCTCCAGGAGGACCAGTGTACCTTCCAGTCTACAGAGCACAAGCACAGAGGGACTGTTTAGCTGCTGAGCCTGCTCCTGTGCTTCTTCAATTTGAGTTTCTATTACTTACGGTTATCCTTCAATCCACAGCATATATATGGTATGCTAGTCAATATTTTATAAGTGACTAAGAAGGAGTGAAATACCCAGATATGATACTATATCTCAAATACATAAAATACATGGAAAGAAAGGGAGAAACATGTCTGAATCAGGTATATAACTGTTGCTTAGGTTTTCCTCTTACATTGTACATGTATTTGAAACAGATAAAGAGACACTTTAAAGTGTTTATTTTGATTTGAGGGACAGGTACTGAAAATAGAAAATATTATAAAATAAATAAAAGTATTCCAAAAGCAGGCATCCATCTTATTTGAAAAAGACATATCAGATATGTGGAGATAATATGGCTATGACATTCATAGCCAAACGAAGGAAAAAGAACTTGTTTTTAATGGGAAACTGCCTCAAGGAGATTTTAAAATACTTTCTCTATAATATTACTGAATGAGAAAGAAGCTACTAAGGATGGTATTTTGGTGTTTTTTGGAATAACAGATAAACTGATATTATTTCCCCACCAGCCTTCTCAATGTTTTCCTCTCTCTCTCTTTGGAATCAGTTTCTTACCTAATTTTATTTGCGCTTTCCTGTGTATTTGTTTCTGTCCCATGCTCTTGGATTCATTTTGTTATATTCTTTTACCTCTCCCTCCCTAAATAGGGTCATATAAATGCATGAAGATAAACCAAACATGAAATGTAATTAGATTATTTCTTACTTACATATCAATTATAACACATTCAAAATGACTTCGAAGTTTGAAAAAAAAGTTATTCTCCATCCCCTACCATCCAAATCATACTAAAATAACACCTGGAACTCAATGAAGAGATAATAAGTTACTGTGCTGAAGTTAAAAACTATTAAAGGCAAGTCAAAAGAACAAAAAACCTTTAGAGATTTTGTCAGAAGTTCTGGAATCATAAGCATTCTTTCTTGCTGACCTATAACAGGAACTCAGTAGTCATCCAACAGTATGTCTACTTTATCTTTTTTTAAATAATGATTACATTTATTGTAAAGAATTGCTACATGAACGTAACATTTTTTTTTTTTTTTTTGGGTACCCGGGATCGAACTCGGGTCCTCGTGCTTGCGCAGCAGGCGGCGAAACCTCTGAGCTAAATCCCCGGCCCTAGTATGTCTACTTTAGAGAAAATAATGTCAGCAGCTAAAATGTAATGAGTTTTCAAGGGTGCAGGAATGTGCACTAGGAAAGAATAAGTTTGGGACACAGTTGGTTTATTAAATAATTATACACCAAATGTCAGTGGCTTCTTCCATTTTCAGGTATTAAAACATTTTATTAAATGTATGCCCAATTATAAAAGAAAACAATATGACTTGCTTATTGAGAGCTCTTTTATACTTATCTAGTTCATGCTAATCTGAAACTTGAGATTTCAAAAGCTCTGTATTTCTAAATTTCCAATGCAATACTTCTGTCAATAAAATTAAAAACCTAACTGAGAGAAGAATTCTACATTCTCTTGCACAAGAAATGAAACCACTTGCTTTTTGATGAAACTGTTAGGAGAGTATTTAACATTGGAATACAGAAGAAAAGACCAAGCTTGAGACTGGGCATGAGGTAATTCATTACTTCTTTCATTTTCATTTTAGTGAGAGCAGAAAGAACAATCCAGGTATTTAAAAACCAAATTCCTGTCGCATGACATAGTTTATAGTCACTGCAATAAAACTAGCTTCCTTTTTCCCTACTGTTAAAACACAAAAAAGGATGTTGTCTAGTAACTACTATTATTTAGGTTCAGGTTTATCCTTCCTCTTCCTTGATATAAAATGCCAGTAAGTGATAAATCAGTAATTAGGAAATGAAAGATGCAAACGGAATGTGTGTGTGTGTGTGTGTGTGTGTGTGTGTGTGTGTGAGAGAGAGAGAGAGAGAGAGAGAGAGGGAGAGACAGTCTTAGTCTGCCTGAATACCAAAGGGAAAGAAAGGAAATCAGTACTCTTCCAGTGGCATTTTTCATAGTGAATTGATGAGAAACAGCTTTTTAGAAATGCAATTCATATATTTTTGAAAAGAATACTTTTCATCCTTTTTATAAAAATATAGTTTCTTTAAAGGTAAGATTATTTTCTCTATAAAAAATACTTGTTCTCTTTCCAGAAAAAATTATTAACCATGACTTCAATCCATGGTTTGACAACTGCTGCTTCTAATATACATTACACTGTTTTGATCAAATAATAAAGTATTCTGAACTATTAAAAAAAGTAGGAAAAACTATTTGGCTATTTCAGTGTTTAAAAATATTCTTCTGCAATAACTTCTATAACATATATCTCAACACATTTTTTTTTAACAGGCATCAGGTCTCTACATAGTACTGAGCCCATTTTTGTATGTTTGTTTGTCTGTTTTGAGACAGGGTCTTGCTATGTAGTTCAGGCTGGCCTTGAACTCATTAGGTAGCCCAGGCTAGCCTCAAACTTTTGGTGATTCTCCTGTCTCAGCCTCCTGAGTGCTGGGATTACAGACATGCACCACCACACCTGGCTAGGATCCCATTTTTTAAAGTTTACGCTTGCCCCCCCCCCCACACTTTAAACACTTCAAACAGTTTACTTCTCCACACACACACACTTTCAACTTTACAAGAGTAAAGCAAATGCTTAGTTCTCATTAGACAATAAAGTTGAAGCTTTGTGAAACCCGGTTCTCAGCTGCCCCCTTGCTGCTAAAAAGGAACTTTGAGGTTGGTGTGGTACAGGAACACATCAATTGTCTCAGAAAAAAAGGTGAGTACAGGACTTTGTGAAAAGGTGAAAATCATGAGATGCCATGGCTAAAGTATTCAAAATTTTCTACCATATTTGATTAATAAATGAAAATATAGAAACATTAAAGTGCCAAAGTTCTTTGGTTGTGAAATCCTAATCTGCCACACATATTTATAATTTAGGAAAGGAAGTAAGTAGTTAACTGAGAATTTCAGTGATAATGAGTGGCAACAGTAATCCGAGAATGAGTTACTTATTCTATTATCAGTATATGCTTATTTCTAGTCACATACCCCTTATTTATTTTTTTAAGATACAAGCCACTGAAGAAATTCTAACTCATTTATGTGTTCCTGGTTTAATATACACAACTATAACAGAGATATACACATGGCAATCCTATGAAGAATACATTGTCATTTTATAGGAAAAGAAGATGGAATGTAAATAGCTATGCATTTTTCCACTTAGTCTAATACTTGTAACAATCAAAAGTGCTAGTATAAACATTTACATCTGCATGAACTAACTGGCATTCTTCACCAACAAAGGTAAATATTTGATGAAGAAGAGAAGAAAGAAGAATAAAGAATCTTAGCAAGATAGATGTCAACATTCTACATTAGTGTATTAATCAGCCAATGATTCATCTTAAATTTATATTTCAGAAGTCTCTTTCTCAGTAACAAAATGGGAATTGGTTTTTTTAAAAAGCCTAAATTAGGCCAGGGATTTAGCTCAGTGGCTTTGCCGCCTGCTGTGAAAGCGCAAGGACCTGAGTTCGATCCCCAGTACCAAAAAAAAAAGCTTAAATTAGAAATTTTGATGTTTTTGCTTTTTGTCTGGTTATAAAGAATATGGCTACAAAAACAACAAAGACTAAAAATCAATAAATACTTTATATTTTCGAAATATAAAGTAGCCTGACATCAATTCCATGTTCAGAGTCATAATGCTGAGCAGCTCAAAGTCAAGCATGTAATATAGCACTTAAACTGTTCCAGTTGCTTAGTGTATTTCATGTTGCTTCCTATCTCTCACATCTTTGTATCTTCTACAGCATTCAGCCCAATGTCTTGCACACATCAGGCGCTGAAAAATATTTATTCTTTCAAAATAAACTTACCCTTCGAAATGACACAACATAAAATGTGTCTCCCTTTCTGCGAATAGCTTCAAAGAAGTCTTGATAACTTCTGGGTGAAGCGTAATATACTTGTAATTCACTCCCCGAGTTCCTACTAAGGTAAGAAAAAGGTAAAGTGTCATTAATAACTAAAAAAGTTTCAATTCCCCCAAAATTCTTCCAATTCTAAGATTATGTTTGAATTATAAGAATCTCTTTCAACCAAAAATTTGGCAATAATTTTTATTTTTAAATTCATTTAATTCTTTCATTGATACATAAAAGATCATATATATTTATGGGGTACCATATGATGTTTCAATACATGTATATGTTGTGCAATGTATAACTCAGAGTACACATGCTTATCTTTTCAAACATTTAAAATTTATTTATAGCAAAAATATTCAAAATATGCAGTGCCTTATCATTATGTATGGTGACCCTACTGTGCAAAGGAACATCAGAACTCACTTCTATCAAACTGTAACTTAGAACCTACTGATCAACCTTTCCCCACCATCCCCTCCCCACTACTTTCCCCAGCCTTTGGTAACCACTATTCTACTCTCTGTACAAGATCAACTCTTTAAGATCCCACATATGAAGGAGATCATGTAGTATTTGTCTTTCTCTGCCTGATATATATTCTCCAGCTCCAGTCCTGACACAAAGGACAGGATTTCATCTTTCTTAATATTCCATTGTGTCTGATACACACACACACACACATACACACACACACACACACATTTTCATCCATTCATCAGGTTGATGGACATTTTGGTAGTTTCTATTTCCTGGCTACTGTAAATAGGGATTCAATAAAGACGCAAGTGCAGATGTCCGGCAGTAATTTTTTTAAATAAAATTTTAATCCAAGATCAAGGACATTTATGAGCTTCAATTTGCTAAAACCAAAATTCCCATTTCTGAATCAAGGTTCTAAAATGTAATAGATGATGAAGTATACTGCAAAACATGTAAAATAATTAGAAAACAAAAATTCTGCATAAGTTTATATGATTTTTTAAATGTTCACAATAAAAACTAAGTCTGAGGAAAATTTATTTTTCACCACTCTGTGAAATATGTGAAGGTAAGGTTGCCTATGAGGATGTGTGAAAGGTGGAAAAAAGCTTAGGGGTTGCAAACTGGCTTTGAATTCTTGTTTCACTTCTCACGTAGATATTCTTGGAGACAGTAACCTCTCTGAGGAAACTCCATTTCCACCTCAACAAAGTATAACTATATAAGCCTTGTAGAATTGCTATTGGGGTCAGAGATATTATAGGTGAAAAGTATCACTCTACAACTGTTAGCAACTGATATGAAAAAAGCCATGTAGGTCCTTTCATAACTTAAAAACTAAAATTATAATACCTCAAACTATATCATACCTAAAAAGATAGACTCAAGTGATACAAATATACTCCTTAAATTTTAAATCTGTCAGTGTTAAGCACAATAAATCAACATCCAGAAGAATTAAAAAGATCATATTTCATTTTTCTCCAAAGAGAAAATGTTCATGTACCAATCAAACAACACTAACTTAAGAGATGAACAAGATCAGCCTAAAGGAAATGATAAATAAGACACAAAACCTTCCTTTGACGTAATCCCATTTGCTCACTAGGCCATTTCTAATTATAATATTTTAGATATATAACCAGTTATTATTTGTGGCAGTTGTGTTCCACACATATTTGTGCATGCTTGCAAATGCGCACAAAAATTGAAAGCATTGATTTTAGAGTTACAAATGCATTTTAGCAAGTAAGCAGATTAGCAGATACAGAATCTATGAATAGGATTTGAGTCCATGAATGAAGACTGACTATAAATCACTAAAAACATTTTTAACTAGTGTACAAACACTATTCCATCATAATCATGGAGCAAAAATTTATACATTTTTTAAAAATTATATTTATAGTAACTGAAGTCTGGTTAATACAGAATTGCTAGTTACTATATAAATATATTTAAATTGCCCATTTCAACAGGATAATACAATCTGAGGATTTTAAACTTTCATGATTAGCAATATGCTGCTCATTGCCATTGAATTCTCAATTAATAAGATAATGAATAAAACAGCTTTCAAGTTACAGTTTTACACACATATAGATTTTTCTCAGTGTCCGGAGTGAACTGTAAGTCTGTAGCAGAGCTACCGGATAGAACCTGAGACTCTCCACTTTTACTTCCAAGATACTGTAGTCAATATTGCCACATCATCATTTACCATTTGAGAGAGCACTTAATATGTGTCAAGTACCATTCTAAGTGCTTGAAATATATTATCTAACTTTCCAATAATGGTAAGTTCATGCCGCAAGAATTGTTGATGACTAAACTTCAATTACATTACACTGCTTGAACCACAGAGCAAGTTAAGTGGCAGAATAATGATCTGAATTCTGATAAACTTTAGAGCTAGCCTCTTAATCATGACACTATTATTACCTCTCTCATTATCTTTCCTTTTACTTGGATATGTCTTAGTGAAGACATTTAAACCTCTGAGTACTCTGCAATCTTTCAAAATCCTAAGTAGTATTTTGTAGTAAAAAGTAAATTTTAAGTCAAACAGCTAGGGTCTGACTTCTGGTTCTGCTGCTCGGTTCTATGACTGAAAATTACATCAGATTAATGATTTGCCCAGTTTTTTCAAATACAAAATATACTTCAAATTATTATATGGATTTAAAGATAAATTGCATGTAAAGCACCCAGCAAAACACCTGGCAGAAAATAGTTAAAAAAACAACATTCTCCTCTCCTATACTTAGAAAATAGATGCAAATCAAGGAAAAGACAGCTAAGCTTATTTAAGATTTTCAGCAAAATTATGCCTGAACAGCACTGACTATGTATTCAAAATTACATAGTATTCAAAATTATGTATTCAAAATTAGCATATGTGCATGAAGTAACATAAAAGTCATAGGTAAGGAAAAGGGAAGTGTGAATTTCAACTTTACTAAAATATATGCCATTTTAAATTCTGTGGCTACAAGCTTCTACACTTTCTTACCTGATACTAGTGGTTTCTGTGTATTGAACAGGCATCAGCTGAGAATTGGAGCTCTGTTCAAGAGCACCCTAGAAGAAGAAAGAAAAGGGCAATACATCATGATAAATGCTAAAACAGAAGCATGTATGAAAAAGTTTAAGGGAGAAAAGAAAAAATTTTATTTGGTGAATGGAACCAACATGAAAGGACTGACTATAGGGCTTCCAACTTTTAGTTCTGTAACAAGTCAAGGGTCCTGTTTTATGAAAATCAAACATCATTCTTGAACACAGTAAATGTTTAATAAATGCTTATTAAACAAAAATGGAAGACATCCAATAAAAAGAAAAGAAAAAGAGAAACAAATAAAATACTGTACTTATTGACATGGTTATCAAGCAAATAGAAAATAAGACCAAAATTGAATTATACCTCATTGATAAATATAAGGTTTAAAATGAACAGTTGAAATCACTGATGAATTTTAAATGATTTCTGCTACTTTGGCACATAGGAAATGAACACAGAAGTGCGAAAGAAGCCTGATTTCTTACTCTCAGAAATGACTGGGTAGGCTTTAAGGAAAACTGACTTACAGACAAATCAGGCAAAAAGAAATTATCTAAGATTTACACAATTAACAAAGAAAACTTTAAAAAACATTTTTAGCTACATAGATTTAATGAAAGGTGATAATTAGCAAAAAAAATGAGGTAAGCATCTACACAAAAAGAAGAAGGATGTTAAAACCTCTGGTTATGTTGCAGATTTGTCTACTTTTCCCTTTAGTTCTGTCATTTTGTTTTGTGTATTTCAAACTTTTATTATGAGGAATTACTATGTCTGTTTCATTAATGCTCTTTTTATCATGAAATTTCTTTCCTTGTCTGTTATAATAACCTTTATTTATTTATTTACTCTATTTCCGGTACTGGGGATTGAACCCAGGATCTTGTGCTTGTGAGGCAAACATGGTGCCACTGAGCTAAATGTTATAATAACCTTTATTTGGAAGTCTACTTTATGTGATTAATATGACCAGTCAGTTTTCTAATGCTTATACTTTCATAGTGTATATATTTTTATCTTTTTATTTCCTGTCTGTATCTTTATATTTAAAATGTTATTTCTTATAAACTGCAGATACTTGGATCTTTCTTCTTTAAAAATCTACTTTGACCACCTCTGCCTTTTAATTGATATCTTATCCCATTGGATTTAATTACTAATATGGCTTGGCTAGGTCTACTAACTTGTTATATATTTTCTATTTATTCTTTTTTTTTTTTTTGGTAACAGGGATCGAACTCAGAACCTTGCACTTGCCAGGCAGGCATGGCACCACTGAACTACATCCCCAGCCCTTTTCTATTTATTCTATTTGCTCTTTGTTTCTCTTTTCCTGCCCCCCCTCTTCTGAACTGCTGTTTTTGTGTTCTATTTTTCTTGAACTGGCTTTTTTACCTATACAGTGCCCCACCACCACCATCCATGGTTTTGCTGACCATGATTTCAGTTACTCATAGTCAGCTGTGGCCCAGAAACATCAAATGGAAAATTCCAGAAATACATAATTCATACAGTTTAAACTGTGTGCTGTCCTGAGCAGTCCAGTGAAATTTCTAACCATCCTGTTTCATACTGCCTGGGACATGAATCATCTCCTTGTCTAGCATATCCACATCGTGAACACTGCTTGCCTGTTGCCACTTGGTCACATCAGCCGTTCTGGTATTGCAGCACTTGCATTCAGGTAGCCCTCGTTTTACTTAATAAGGGCTCTGACACAACAGTGGTAATGCTAGCAGTTTTATTACAGTATATGGTTGTAACTGTTCTATGTTATTACTAGTTATTGTTGTTAATCTCTTATTGTGCCTAGTCCATAAGTTAACCTTTATCATAGGTATGTAGGACATACCTATGTATAGGGAAAACAGTATATATAAAGTTTGGTACCATCCACTTCAAGTTAATCACAATGTACCTTGAAATATTTCAACACTATAAGAACTTAGCAGTATATTTCTACTTATCTCTCCCTCCCTTTGTGTTCTTCTATTTAATCTTTAAACTCAATAACTAATCACTTTTTTTTAACTTTAAAAATACAATAGTCTTTGAAAGGAATATATATAAACATAATATATAGATATTTTTTAAAGGCCTGTCATTTTATCTAGACACTTACCCATTCTGATGCCCTTCCTTGCTAATCTGCTAATCTTTCTCTGTTAATCTGGGGTTCAACCTGGTATCATTTTTCTTAGTCTAAAAGCTTTTGAAATTTCTTATAGTTCAGATCTTCTGGAAAATAATTCTCTTAGCTTTACGTTTATTTTGCCTTCATTCTGAATATATCCACTAATTTGAGATTTTACTTTTTCTAATAATACACAATTTAGGAAGAGGGGAAGATTATGAAAGGGGACAGGTCAAATCCAATTTTACTTAGAAACAATAGAAATTTCAAAGAAATGTCAAATTACCAAATTTACAGAATATCTTATGAGACTTTTGGATTCTTTTAGCATCTTAAAGAAGTAACCTTGGGGAAAAGTAGGTGAAAAAGAAAAAAGAACACAAAGTAGAGTAGTCACAGGCTCTCTACACTAAGAATCAAAGGAATTCTTACATGCTTTAGAATCCACAACAGCATAAGCAGAAAGATTCTGTTAAAAACACTTGACTCTTCACTTGGGCGTACAAATGTCCAACAGGTAACTCAAAGCAGGATAAAAACTTGACATCTCTGCCTCCACTTTGTATCAGTCTCCTTTGCTCTGAGTTACTCTCTCTGGCAGTCACCTTGGATTCCAGGAACATCAGGTCTGATCTACAAACATCTTATGGAAATAAAACTACCCCCTAGGCAACAGCAGCTTTCTTATCACAGCCAACATGGCCTCGAATGACCAATCCTGAGATAATGATCAGCCAGAACACCTTTTGACAAATATTGCTTGACTACCCATTCTTCTGGTCCCCTTGTCTATATAACCTGGGAGTTTGTGCCAGAACTGCTGAAGACAGGGCAAAAGAAGCAAGGCCTCTTGTCTTCCCAGTATCGTTATAATGATTCAAGGTTTTCCCTCTCCTTACTACTGTTCATCTTTGGACTGGCATCTTGAAGCAAATGGCAGAACCTAGTCTGTTAGGACCCTTCGAGTTGTGACTGCTGCCCCAAAACTCTGGTAATAATCCTTGTCTTTCCTCTAATCAAAAACTTTTTTACTTGGACAAATACAGATGCATCCAGTCATTTCTTTTTTGGTAAAAGCTAAGACTCTTACATTTCTGACCATTATCCAAGCTCCCTACAGAAAGCTGAGATTCTCTGATTTCTGACGATTATTCAAGTTCCCAAAAGAACAGAAAGAGATAAGACTTTTGATTGAACTATAAATCTTGTATAAATGAAATTGTCTATGAAATTAAAACAAAATTATTTTCCTTGCATTAGAATTCCTTCAAGATGAAAAGCCAAAAATCCTCATTTAAGTCGAGAATTTTAATCTAATTTTTCATACAGAGCATTATAGCAGCTGTGTGGAATTATCTACTGGCAATGACTAGTCCTGCTTCCTGTGTTCTTCTCCTATGTTGCAAAAGATGGAAGCATGAAAACTACACTACCTGAAGTCTTCTGTCACCACGATGGGGTTCTGGATAAAATTTAGGTTCTGCCAATAAGATGTGCTTGCTCTGGTTGGGCGTGGTGGTGCATGCCTGTAATTCCAGCACTCTCAGAGGCTGAGGCAGGAGGATCAAAAGTTTGAGCCCAGTATGGGCAACTTAGTAAGACTCTGTCTAAAACTAAAAAAGTTTTAAAGGACTGGGTATGAAGACCCTGGGTTCAATCCCTAGTAACCCCTCACCCCGAAAAAGATACTAGAGATGGGCTTGCTCCAGATTCAGAAAGTAGATGGGAGAGAGTCCATTTTCCCAGTGGCTATCATGGCAGCTGATGTGTAAGATTTAGCAGACTAAAGTTTTTGTATTCCAACTCTGCATTCCAATGCTAATAAAATTCTATAATGGTTAAAAGTTCATGTCTCTGGATATGCTTTTAATATATTTTGAGCATTTTAATATATTTTGAGCACATGTTTCTTCCAATTACTTGACAAATGATCAAATAATTAAGATGTTTCCATTAGCATATAAACATGCAAATCTAGTGAAATATATTCCACCCAAAATTAAAACTTCTTTCTTGATTTCTGGAGCCACTCTATTTCTCTATTCCCATTTATAGGAATCATTCGATTCAAGAGATGCAAATGAAAACAACGCTGAGATTCCACCTCACTCCAGAAAGAATGGCTGCTATCATGAAATCAACCAGTAGCAAATGCTGGTGGGGCTGTGGGGAAAGAGGAACACTGCTCCACTGCTGGTGGGAGTGTAGACTGGTGCAACCACTGTGGAA